CTGAATCACTGTATTGCCATTCCAGATATATTTATGGTACGTGTTCGAGATGATGATTATTGGACTATCTTTTCACCTATGGATACAAAGATATCACTAGGATATAACCTAAACGGATTATATGGTCAGAAATTCAATAATGCATATATTCGTTGTGAGGTAGAGTTAAAATGCAAGAAAATGATCAAAGCACGAAAGTTATTTTTTGATATAATCAAAATGCAATGTAATACTGGTGAATCATTTTTGTTCTTTATCGATAATACCAATAAAAAATCCAACCAAAGTAATATTGGACCAATTGTGATACTAAACCTATGCACAGAGATTGTCGAACATACAGAAAATATATCCGTTTGTAACCTTCGTGCTGTTATTTTACCTAACCATATTTCTTCAGAAAATGAATTCGATTTCACCGAATTACAATATTCTGTTAGACTGCTTGTAAACTCATGTGACTGATCAATTGATCTAACATCTTACCTATTGTCAGAGTGTGAAATAGTGAATAAGAGTGATTGACCTATTGCAGTGGGTGTCATTGGATTGGCAACATTGTATAAAAAACTCAGGTACTCATGGGAAGATAAAAAAGCATGTGAACTAAACAAGAAAATATTTGCAAATATGTACTATGCTGTATTGGATGAATCATGCAACCTAGCACGTGAGCATAGTCCGTATGATAACTACGAAGGTTCATCCTTATTAAAGGGTATCTTACAGTATGATATGTGTGATAGTGATCCATTCCCAGAACTTGATTAGAGTTCTTTGAAACAAAGAATTAAAGAATATGGGGTTCGAAACTCTTTGTTAATCGCCCCAATGCTAACCACATCAACATCCCAATGTGTTGGCACAGGGTACAGCGAAGGACCATTTCCCGATGAATCGAATCTGATGTTCAGAGAAACTACCGGAGGAAGTTTTATTTATGTAGAGCGTGAGATGGCAGAAATGCTTATATCCAAAGGACTCTGGACTCCAAAAATCATAGATAAGATATTAGATAATAATGGTAGTGTTCAGGATATAAAAGAGTTTCCAGAAGAGATGAAAGCAATATACAAGACTGCCTTTGAGTATTCGTATGAAACTATAATCGACCATGCGATTGATCGTAGTCTATATATCGACTAATCACAAAGTTTAAATAATTACATAGCTACGGGTGATTCTGAATCAATGATAAAATGACTTTTTAATTCCCATATACGAGCATGGAAAGGAGGATTGAAGACTGTATACTATACAAGATCGATGTCATCATCCAGGTCATTAGATATCAAAACAGGTTTATCCCCAAACTCACCCATTTGTACCAATAGTAATTCATGTGAATCATGTGCTTTGTAATACATTGTATTCACCAAAATAGAATATATTTAGCTTCTGTATAACATTGATTGTAATAATTTATCTTATAAATAAAGTTACATATTTATTTTTTCTACTTTTAATTAAAAATGTCTAAACGTAAAGTTAATTCTGAATTATTTTCAATGGAGATTCCAGAATTTACTAACGAATATAGAATTAAACGTAGAAATAATGGACATAAACAATACGGATTTGTATCTGCATTTTTATACGACAAGCGTATGAATAAGTTTATCTTTAAATTACGTGGTTAGAGTAATTCACAGTATAAATCTAAAATTTCACCTATTGGAGGAAAGCGAGAAATACGATTTGAGATTTCGAAGAAAACTATGGATGAATTAAAAACAGGCAATGAGATTCAGTTAAAAATAAGCAAAGAGGATATCAAGAAAATATTCGATGCTCCAGACGGGTTTGATATCGAACATGTTGTTAAGTTAGAAAAATGGGATATGATTACTGGTGATAATTTACTAATCTATGATAAACAATACGAAATGTTATACAAACAGGAAGGTATATTTTCTGCTATGTCAAGAGAAGTTTTTGAAGAAACAGGATTAGATATCAAAAAGATTTCCTGTGAAATTAAATACTTTGGATTTGATAAGAAGATTTTTGAAACAGATGGGATAGTCACCCATGTATTTCTAATTATCTTTGATAGTTATGATTTCATTCCTTATTCAAAAGAAAAGAAAAGGGGC